ATAAATATGATAGATAGATAGATAGATAGATAGATAGATAGATAGATAGATAGATAGATAGCTTTTTCAAGAAAACCTTGAAGATTTTTATCACTATTATACTGGCAATTGTCTTTTAATTAATTATCAGAAGACAAATAATGTAGTCTTTGCCAAAAGCCCCAAGATAAATAATTAGAACATCTGGAGTAAAACCACCAAGCAAGTTAAATTATTTAAATATCTGGAGGTAGTATTCCATTCCTCAGGCAAGAGGGCCCAAAATGAATATGTGTATTGCAGACAGTACATAAAAATGTGGCATATATTTTAAGGTTCTTCTGACTGAAAGAGGCAGTTTTGTGCCTCATGCCATCAAACTACTGGAGGCCAAGTTGTTGGCTCAGCTCTAATATGGAGTTCAGTTAGAGGCATATCCCAATTATTTCCCTCTAGTATAATCAAAATCTTGAGAGCAGTGCTTCAGATCCTCAGGTTCATCCCAATGCCTTCTTGTGACAACAGACTGATTACCCAAAGTGGAGTCTTGGGTTTGGCTGGCCATCTTTAATCTCTGGTTGAAGTTTAACTTCTGTCTGACGTGCCTGACTCCTCTAATAATATTTGATAAATTTCATCTGCCTAGAAGAGTACCTTATTCAATAAACTGCCCCTCTCACTCTTTCCTGAGTTTTTGCTCTCCATGGGCTATGATTAAGCTAGCATCCAAATCCCGGACAATGAATTACAAAACAAGTTCAAGCTAGTCAGCAGCCAGCTACTGTAAACATCTTCCTCCTTTGAAATGTTCAATGGTCACACAGTCTTCTTACAGCCCCGATTTAACATCCTTCTGTCAGCTGTGCTGGAAGGTAGATTCATCAGCTTTCATTATAAAGAGTGTGTCTGCCCATGTGCCTCAAGGGAAACTGGAATGGCATGTTCTGCTATGCTGCGAATTTTATAGGGATCTATGCAACAAATTTATTATCACCCTTTCAGTAATTTTTCCAAGCCATTCAGATGAATTACTTCTTACCCTTTTATTTGCAGATTGGAGGCCTGCTGCTACTTAAAATGTAGCAAAATTGTGTGCACTGGCATATCACGTGTAGCAAGAGATAACAAGGGGACCCCAGCAAAACTGGTAATCCACCTTTTTCTCCAGCTGTAATATATAACCCCTTACTGACTTTATGTTATTGTCTGTTTTATTATGTGTGTATTATTGTCTGGATATTTCAGATCTTGTAGACTATTTTATGATCTTTGGCCATAATAAAGAATTCATTCATCATGTTAGTAGTTGACTTATACTGGAACTAGACAGCAGGCATTAATCATGGTTTAGTTGTACTGATTTTCTCAGCAGCATTCAAGCTATTGATCACAGTATTTTGAGATGTTTAACCAGTAAGGGACTTGGCTAAATGCTCCCAAAAATGGTGCTTGGGACCACTGTTTGGCTTCCTGAACACTGGCTTATGGAATACTTTAGGATTCTATTTGCCCCCTATGTTTTTTAACATTTGTATGAAGTTGCTGAGAGAACTCTAGGTCAGCTAGAGTTTCTGTGCTCTGTCTCTCTCTTTTATCTTATGCCAAGAAGATTGCTGAAGTCCTGTATCACTGAATATAGGATGTAGCTAACAAGTTAAGGATTAATTTAGACAAGCCAGAGATACCACAGACCTGCAGCCAAACTTCTCTGGGATCGAGAATATTACCTCCTACTAAAGAATCAGATTTACAACAGGCAGATAACTGCTATGGCCAAGAATGCCTTTGCCCTGGTATGGTTGGTGTGCTCCCTTAACACAATGGACTGTGTCTTAAATACTGCCATTTAAATTGCTACAATCTGTCAGTAACTCTGCCTAGAACAGTGCCTGGAAATTATACCTAGTATAAAATATTGTTTTCTTGAATGTCCTCTGTTGACTCTATCACACAAATTCTGTAGCATCTGCTGCAGTTCCCAATTTGTTTCTAGGTACAATTCAATGTGAAAAGTCTTCTCTACGTAGGCCTAAGTAAATTGGGCCTAGTACATGTTAAAGACCCTCTTCACGCATATGAACCTGGCTATAATTTACAATCTGCGCCATAAACAGAAACTTGGTTGCCAATAACTTGGGATATGGAGAGCACCCAACCATGGAACTTTCCCCTTAAGGATGTTAACCTGTCCATCTTTGTTTAATTTTAGGTGGTCCATTGAAATCTTTCTCTGCTTTTGAAAAAAGTAAAATCTAAACTTGTGCTAGATTTTATTTTATTTTTCTTATTAGAGATGGCATTAAAATTAAAGTTGTATATTGCCTTTTCCATGACAAGCAAATCATAAATTTAATTTAAAAAATTAATAACTGCAATTAACAAGCAGGTATGACCTCCATATTTAGATCAGAAGAACATACAACATTTTTGCCAAACACCTACTCCTTGTCCTTTAGTAATAACCTGAGATGTTTCCTAGGAGATGGCTCCTACTGGAAATGTTTAAAAGACACTGTGTTGCCATTCCATCTTTCCCTCCAAAATAACTTTTCATCATTAGAAAAAAGAGAAAGGAAGAGGTATGTTTCAGGTATAAAATAACCTCTTTTGGAAATTCTGTGACTAAGGCAGTGGACCTTCCCAAAAAGTCTTCTCAGTTCATTAGAGCTGACAGTCAAAAGGAAGTGTCCAGTACTTCCACCCTTCCCTCAACAGATTTATTCAGGATCATAAAAACAAATTATAAAATTGTCAGGGAAATACAGGCAGATTCCAAATAGAAGAAAACATTAATGAACACCTTATAAAATGTTATGCCATATACATAACAAAAGCCTTATTTGAGACTGCTTGTCTCACCCTAATTTCTTAGCAGTCTTGTCCAATCCTCTGCCCAACCACTGCCATCTAACACTATTTTTAATGTGAATTATCCTTGATTAACATCATAGCAATTGTTATTGAATCCATTATTTAAATTTCATAATCCATTATCCAATTTCCAATTGTGGCCAACAGCAAAGTGTTCTGATGATAAATACTATATTTATAGATACCAACTATGCAGCACAAAGGTTTTAATAGATAAAATTGTGGGTAACATGGTTCTCCAAATATATTCTCCCTAACCAAATTCCAGCCCTACTTAAGCCAACCAAACTGAACTACAGGTTTTTTGGATGCCAGAGGCACTAGGCTCCAGCTAAATGAAGAAAGAAGATGTTACTCGTTGGGAGAGATAGCAGGATGAAAATTCACAAAAGAGGTACCAAAAAGGTGACTGGGACAATGTTCCATACATCCCCATCTATCACACTGATACCTCCACAGTGAGTGAGTCCATACAGCATGTAGCCTTTGTGACACAGGCACTGGAAACTCCCTGGTGTATTTACACAGATGTGGTCACAAGTTCTATCAAAGGAGCATTCATCAATATCTGGGAACAAGGAAAGAGAGCATAAACTACATTTTAATACGTAAGTAGTACCTCCTTGAGGTTAGGATTATTTTGCTTTTTTACTAACCAGAAATTGTGAAACTATAACAAATTGCCCAGGGTTAGGAGAACATTAGGAGAAAATATCATTCTAATAGAAATTAACTAGTTTACTTTGGTAGCATGATTTTTCTTGGACTCTCCCCACCATCCCAAAAATAAGGGTGCAAATTAAGTTTCAAAATAATTATATATGGCAGTTTCTAGTTAAAAACTTATATTAGTCTAGGGTTATGTTATTGCCCAACTTATCACAATGCTAAAAGCCCTGAGATGGTGAAAGAAATCACAGAAGCAGGAAAAGGAGAAGTTTTAATAATTGGGGACTTCAATCCCCTCATACAGATTGTGTACACTTATGCTCAGGCCACAAAAAATAAAGCAAATTTCAAGATACCCTAAATGTTTGTGCTTTAGAACAGTTGGTTTTGGAACTAACCAGAGAGATACAACCCTAAATTTTTGGATGCGGTGGCGCAGCGGCTAAATGACGCTGAAAGTTGCCGGCCAGAAATGGTCGACACTTCAGTGGTTTGAGCCCAGCTTTCGCACA